AGTAATTTACAAAGTAATCCCATCATCATTTATGTGAAACGAAAGGATACGTTGGTAAAAAAAATAAGTATAAATTAAGGAATTAATATTGACCAAGTAATATTTATATTTCAATAAAAATATTCAAATCACCAGAAACCTTAGTCATAGGAATCCTTTTGCTAAATATGGAATAGACCAGAGAAAAATCGGAATTGTCATTTTCAAAAAACGTAGCATCTTGTAATTAATTCATTTCTGTAATGATAGCATAAATGACGACGAATATGGGACAACTCAACTAATCTGGCATTATCTCTAAAGAATAGTTGACAAATAAATACTAGTTGATGAATAAACACAATATCAGCAGATACCCTATAGGATATCCCAAGGGCTCCAAGCTAACTTTTATAGGTACAGCAGACTTTTACATGAGGTAATCTGTAAGAACAAATTAATGCGTAAACATATTTTTACTTCAACACGAAAACGAACTTCCAAAGCAAATTGAATACAATAATACACCCAGACCTGGAAAACGTGCTCTGAACGCTCATCTTTGTTACTATTAAAAACTATTAGGACTATACGTTTTATCAAAGTTTCGAAACTATAATTCTAGACAAGGCATATAACGCGTAGCCAGTAGTGCATATCTATTTGTTCTAAAATTATAAAAAATAAAATTCAGTACGGCACCCAATTAAGTTCGTCTTTAATACGTCTTCATTTCTAGAACTACAGATATTGAGTATATATTATGTTTTGAGAATGGTACGTACATTTTCATGTACTTTGCAAATTGTTCATTTATTCCAAAAGTATATTTTATATGATCTGTAAAAGCGTATGAGAATGATTTCTAACGTATACAAGGAATATTGCTGTTGAAATTAAGATTAAAATTTCAATTAATAAAAATTTCTTTTTAAAATTTTCACTTTTGTTTCTTTTATAGAAGAAACATTTGTTTTTTGTTTTTGACAATACCGTGCACAAATTCATGTAGTTCAATAAATAATTTTAATTGAGTCTTTTATATTACCGTATAGCAGAAAAACGTGATTTTAGTATAAAAAATGAAAATTAATTTTTGCTTGCGATATTATTTTGCAGAAATCTTTAAGATCAATAAAGTAAACAACAGCAAAATGAAGGAAGAACAAAAAACTTGAAAACACAAAAATTTAAATCCTTTTTCATACTTATTTTTTTGCTCTATTTGGTAAGGTTATATCATTAAATAAAATGTACATATATTTTTTTTTAATTTCTACTCGACGTATGTTGTATGCACACATCACCTTCGAGTATATCTGTGTTATAGAGATATACATCTGCATACCATTATTGTTATACATTTGAGAAATTTCAGGAAGTCATAAAAAATGAAGTGCACACCCAAATCATCCAAAATGCAATTTTTAACTAAGTAAGAATAAAAACAAACTACAAAAAAATTGAATGAATTTAAAAGTCAAGATTATTGCATTTTGTGATTCAGTTGATTCAGGCACGTGCACATTCTGTGCTATACTCGGTTTGTTTATTTTCTCTTTCGTCGGTAATGTGAATCTAGTTATGAATTCTCTAGTTACACGTATGTACCTTGTACATGTAAGAGATTTACAATGTTTTGAAGTAAGCCAAATATATACATGCACGTATGTTCTCTTTTTAAATACAGTAAGGAAGGAAATGAACGAATTATTAAAATTTTTCGATTTATTGAAAACATTTAAATATTTATTAAAAGTTCTCTGTATCACCGGTACCATTGTATTTGTAACATATATGGATATATTCCAAAATATTATAATATTCCAGTATTATGCGTTCGTTAATTCCATAAACCAAAAAAAAATTCTATTCTGAAAGGGTTATTTTGATATAAGATGTTGAAAAAAACTCTTTTACTTATTTGAAACATGTTACAAGCATGCAACGCACACCATGCTATGTTAAATTCAGCCAACCGTCTTTATGAAAATTTGATCCAACAGAGAATTGCGAATATTACGTTGAAGAAGAAAATGACTTTCAAATTCCATTTATTCCAACCTATATGCAATTGAAAAATAAAACTCAAAAATTTATAAAACATGCATCAATTTGAAATTTCATTTTTAAAATTACACTTTAACAGGACTGTAACTTTATATACTAAGCATTATAGTGCGAAAACGTGACTTACGAAAATTTTCCTTTCACATGTGCAATGTACTTATATAATAATATGCTCGTTAAGAAAGCGACTTTATTAAGACTCTTTTAAAACAAAAACCCAAAAGTGCAAAATAAACTTGAAGCAATATCCGTATAAGATTAACTTTGTATTATTATGAAAATACATACATACGCGCATAATTGTATAGTTACTATTTAATGTGAAATATATGATAGTTAATGTTTCTCAAAAATCTACCATTAAAGTTTAAATAATGAATTTTGAACTTATCTTTACATTAAATTTATAAAAATCTCAAAAATAAAACAGTTTACTATACCAAAAATTCTAATTAAGGTATAGAGTATTAAAATTATCTTTTTAATTATTTCATTTCTTCTTCCATGGTATATACGGGGTTGTCTTTTATTATGTGAAATACAAAATAAGAAAAAAATATTATAATTATTTCGAAACGCTATGGCAAATCACTACAATTTCAAATATTTCTTTGGTTTTTTCTTCCTATATACTTTTTACGTTTTTGTTACATTATATAGCTCTCTATACCTCATTAATAATGAAAGTGCTTTAACCGCTCTTGAGGATATTTTAATTTTAAACGAAATCAATTCTGAATTATATATTTTTGCTTATAGTAAAAATTATACGAGGTTATAATATCTGATTGAGGTTAATTTTGAAGTTATTAGTTTTGAATTCTATATAAATGCTTTTTAGCATTTTTCTCACAAAATTGAAAAAAAAGTGTTTATTTATTTCACCCTGTTCGCCCGTCCGTTGGTATATATATGTTTGTTTTCAAATATTTATACTATTTCTGATAGCTGAAATACAAATAGATTTTTTTAAGAAACTTATTTGTTTAAAAAAATTTTTTTACCTATTTTTCCTCTCTGACAATTGTAAATATTCCATATTTTGACACTTTATAAATTTTTGACACTTTCAGCAAAGGCAGAAATATAACGACTTGCATAAATGAACATTAAAATAACAAAATAACTGTCTAAATTACTTATTATCAAAAACCCTTTTTTTCGTAAATTATTGATATATATTTTTCTTTTATAAGTTGTACAAATCCGAAATTTTAACAGTTTTTAGGCATTGTTATCAATAATCTATTTTCTCGGAATAAAATTATATTCCTTCTCCCCAGCCCTCCAATTTTGCTGAGGGAACAATTAATTAAAAGACTGTTTAAAAAAAGTATTTTCATTAGCTTAAGAGAAAAGTGCTATTTTTCAAATCATAGATCTGATTCAAATTTATTTTTCGAAAAAATTATTTAACTAAAGAATATTCAAAATGAAGAGTTAGAATAATTTAAAAAAAATTTGTTTGACTTTCTCTAGTTTTTCTTCTTTCATATAACTAGCGTGATAAATAATATAACGTAGTTAAATAATATTAAAAAGTAGGAATTTAATTTCAAATGACGTTGTTGACGAATTCAATTCGAAAGTCAGGTAATGAATTTTAAATTGAAATAAGAAAATTATTCAAACGACGATACTCAATTTGAATGTAATTTGATATTTTATCAAATATTTTTAGAAAATTGAAATATCCTTGAATTTTCACACAAACTATGTACTCAATGGTGAAAAATAGTTTTATCTTTTATTTTTTTTAGTGAAAATGAAAAATGTTTTTTTACTTGTGATTTGTGAATAATCGTACGAAGAAAAAAAAATTCAATAAAAAATTTAATACATTTGTAAACGAAAGCGAGAAACCATAAATATGAAAAAAAATTTCAACACACTGCATTAGACTTGCAATTTTTGAAATCTACTTGTTCTTTACTTTAAGAATTCCCTATTCCGATGCACAATGTGAAAATATTTTAAAGCTTTAATATAAAAATTGCTATTCATAGTCTCATAGTCTTAGGTTATTCTCCTTATAAGAATAAATTACTACTAATTCTTTTAGAGTCACTGCATTCATTTAGATGTTATATTGTTTAAATAACTTATCTCTGGAGACGTTGTTCTTAGGCATTTCATGAGGTTTCTATCTGAGATTAGAAATTTGTGATTTGTTGAACTTTTTGATATTCGCCATTATCAGATAAATATTCTGATACATGACCGGTTATAATAGAAACAAGATATTGACGATAATGTTGCCTTCTTCGAACTCTAATTCTTCCTGTTTTAATTGCACCTATATCGTTATGAAAGGTTTTCTTATGACTACTTTTTTAGCTTTGTTTCTTTTGGTATGGCCGTATAATAACAAAATGTTTGATTATGGTTGTTGCCACAAATATCTTTAAAGTTGTTATATTTAATTTTAATTATTGCATAAAAAGATGATTTTCTAAAAGAATTTAAAAAAATTTCATTGAATTAAATAAAATTTTAGTTAATAATCAGAAAAAGAGAATAATTCAACAGAAACAATTTCTGTTACACTTTATAGTTATACAATTTATAAGAATTTAATTACAATATTCCCCATTCATCAAATAAAGCCAAACTTTTTGCAAAATTTTTGCACAAATTTTTTTTGTTTTTTAGTTCCATTTACGTTCACGTTCTATTTCTATAATGTTTTTTTTTAACAATTTCGACATTAAAAATCTTTTTCTAATCAATAAATCTACTTCGACTTAAATAATTGTTCGAAGGAAAGAAAACGGTATAGTTTTTCTTCTTTATTTTGTTTGTAATTTCACTGCTTTTTGCTTTATTTTATTACTTTATATTTTCGCAGAGTTTATGATGGTAAAATATATACAAGGATATATAAGTTTATAAATTTTCACCTTAACACTTAGAAATTTTCTACATTTGTAAAAACATCACACCTTACCGTATATTCTTTATCTACTCTGCTTTATTTTTTTTTACAAATGTAAATATAACGTAAAAGGAGAAAGCTAGAGACAAACATTTTAAATCAGATATAAAAAATCCCTTTGTGGAATAAATTCAAATATAATTTTTTTTTAATATTTTTCTATTACTTTCTCTGCCATTGCTTTTATACCAATCCAAGCTTCTGTTACCATTTTTCTAATCTGTGATGGTTTCGGATCAAAGCCAGATCCACCGGATGGTAATTCCATAGTAACAGCGATTGGAATTTTTGCTACACCTAAAGCATAATCATCGCTACCACCTGCAGCAGCATAAAGAACATTTGTTGAACTACCAACTCTATAATTGGTTCCAGTAGATAATTTAATAGCATTTGATCCAGCCTTACAAACTTCATCCAAATCTTTCCAATTTTCCGGTAATGCTCTGTAATATCATACACGTATTTTATAAGATACTTATATATATTAAGAAATATGAAAACTTTAATTTAATATGCATGTAAATAATAGAACTTACGAAGTGTAGCCCCATGGGTATAACAACAAATTGCCATAAGAGTGTAATGTAAGATACATTTTTCCACGACCAGTTAATGACAATAGAATATCACGTACTATTTGTGTTTCTGGCTCTGAAAAAGCCTTTTCTCCTTTAAAAGTTTCTTGGCATGGTAAAGATGATGCACCTTGTTCTCCCCAATGAAAATCAAAATTCCTATTTCCATCAGTACCATAACAAATAGCTGAACTAGGTTTACGTGTTTTTCTCCAAAATCTTTGTGATTTATGTGTATACTCATATCCATCAACATTTACTAACGGTATGACAATCCAATCATAATTTTCAAGTAAATGTTTATTTTCATCAAATTTCTCAACTAACTGATATATTATATATAAAGCCGTAGATGGTGCAATCCATTCTCTTGCATGAATTCCAGCATCAATAAATATTACATTTTTACTAGTTAAAGAATTTTTTCCATTAGTAATTGTTATTGCGTTTATTGCTCGACCTTCATATGAATCTCCAACTTTTTTTACAGATACTCTTTCTGGGAATCTTTCTGCTAAGTCTTTTAAAAATGAATTAATTTCATTATAACGATAGTAATCCTCCAGTATATGTTGTCTTGTAGCACGTTTAAAGAAATTATGAAAATTATTGTAAAAAATTGAATTGGATACATTAGAATTAATAAGCCTAAATGTAATACCATTTGAAATAAGATCATTTTCGAATTTTTGTTGATGTTTTGGTGGAACTAACGCTCTTGCTGGCACATTAGGCAATTTTGTCAATGTTAACATATCAATTTCTTCATTTTTTAAAGATATTTTGTACAAGATATTAGACTGAGTTACAGATGAAGGAATAATTTCATAGATTTTGTACCTAAAATTTATTTTATATTAGCACTTTAATCCAAAATACTTTTTCTATCTTTATGGAAAATACAGATGTAAATTAAAATAAGTTCAATTAAAATTTTTAGCACAAACTGAATATTATTTAAGCAAATTTTATTAAATGTATATTTTGTTTTATTTTATTTTTACGTAATTTTATTTACCCCTTATATTCCTCAAATCCATTTGTTGAGGCTATTATTAAAAATAGTAAACTTATCAACTTAAATTCAAAGAGAATCATATTGTAATATTTAAGTATGCCCTGTTTCAGTCTCTTTAAATTTTATTAAGTAATGTAACTTATTGTTGATAAACCTTACCTATTTATACAAAACAATTATCAACTGATATTAAATTTATCAATTTTTAGAAAACTTGTAGTTCTTATCAAATAACGTACCTTAATAAGTAATTCAAGAACAAAAAATTTTTAAGTTTTAAAAAATGAGATAATGAATTTTTTATACTCGTATCAACTATAAAATGAAATATTTAAAAAAAAATGCAGTAACATTTTTAAAATTAAAGTCAGTTATTCTATTAGCATTGAAGTGTGTAGTATTAAAATTGCATCAAAAATTTTAAGGGCATTATAGAATTAAAATTGAAAATCTTGATATCATCAATGTTGATACAATATAAAAATTATTCAATTTTTAATTACGGTGCGCGTAATTAAAAAATTATTCTAAAATCGTAATATAAATATTTTAACTCTATAATTTTATAAAAAAAACTTTATATACGTTATTTATTAAAATCCCCACAATTCCGAAGAACAAAGCTTTTTATTTTTAGTATTGATATAAAATAATTCAACTTTGAATTTGATTGCATATGTTTTTGTGTAATTTATCTAACTGGATTATTTCATTAAATCTATTATAAAGATAAGAAATTAAAAAAATCAGCGGTCTTCCATGCGCCAAAAAGAAAATTAAATCAATTTTATATAATTTTTCAAGTAAAAAAAATGATTTAAAATTGTACTTATCACTTTTTAAACTACTTTTGATTTATTATTTAGATTTTGATTTATTATTGTAATGTAGAGCGAAATCAATTTGAAAAAAAAGAAGAAGTTAGTTCTGTTTTGTAATGGTCTTGTGAGTGCTTTCTATTCATAAGCGGATCTCAATATTCCTTAACGAAGCGGTTAGTAAGTTTTAATCTCTATGGGCTTTGAAAGTATTACCTGTTTTTAAATGTACAAAATGAAAAAAAATAAAGGGTACAATTTGCAGATATGCAACTTTTTGTTTTAAAATTTCCCTAAGCCTTGTAGGAATAGAATATACATTTTGTGCTGCAAGTTTTGAAATTGAATTTTTTTTCACACATTTTAATTTATTATACAATTACAAATTTTATGAACTGACCTTTTATTAAGTCTTACTTATATTTTGTTTAAACTGAATTTGGGGCTTATGAAAATATTTGGATCAAGTTAAGTTTCAATATAATGTTCACATCCCACTTATTCTAATTTGTTCACATCTCATTCTAACATCCCATTCATTCTAATTAATTATATTTCTATCATATAAAATACAAACAAATAGGTACATTGTAGGTTCCAACAACGAATGTTTGCTGGGTGTCATTAAAGGTATAGAAGTGTATAAAAAACTATAATTCGAACCCACAACCAAAATGCTGGTAAGAAAAGAAAAAAAACTTTATTGAGATATCTATACTAATAATGGTTTATTTTTTTTCAGTAGAAATATTATTAACTTAAAACTGAAGGCATTTTGAAAAATTTTCGAAAAAATTTTGAACATTAAGTTTTTCGCTTGAGTTGGTATATTGTACGTTATATTATTCGCTCCTCTAGTTCCACACTGATATATACATAAACTTCTTGCAAAATTTTTAGGATTCACTTAATTTTTGGTCTTTATTATAGCTTTCATATTAGATCCTATTATATAATTATATAATTTAGTATATAACAATAGCACAAAATGAAAGTTGTTAATCCCAAATTGATAGTTTAAATTCTTTATAAACTTTTATACGGATTGAAACTTCAAGAAAAACGTTCCTACATTTTTATAATTAAAAAATTATCCAATCAAACTAATTTGTGTTTGCTTCATAATAAATACATATGTATATGCATCATCTATGTACGTATGAGTAAGTATGTGTAAGGCAATATATACATATGACTTTTGTAGCATATCACAAAATATATATGTACATACCAAAAGTTTATAGCACAGATTTCATGAAGATTTTCAGTTATAGCTACCTAAACTTTTAAAAGTCAATTCATGGGGATGTTTTTATTTAATATGTTATTATTATTATGAAAAAAATCTAATTTAGTCAGCACATAAATGACAATAAAATTTATTCAGTATTGTATAGTTTAGCGGAACTTAGTTTTGCACAACATTATAGAAATGTTTTTAGAGACAGCAAGAAAACAATTTTACTTTTTTCTTAAACATTGTCTTAAATGTAATATCGACCGTAACAAAAGCTTCTGAGACCTACGCAATCTAAATAAATTTTCATTAAAATCGGTTTCACTGAATTCAAGGTAATTGGGAACGCAAAAAGACAGACAAACCGACATCTCTTCAAAAGAAGTTTACATATATAACGTAGAAATATATTTCACCAATTGCAACACGTCCCTTATTGCATGCAATGTGGACAGTAAATACAAAAACAACAAAAGTAAATGAAAAATAACACTATCCTTAAGAGATAATTTAATTCCAATTTTTTATTTTATGGTAAACAAGAATATGTATTAGTAGAGTCTTGTCTATGACATTCGTTTATTTTCATTTTGGTGAACAGCAAGTTTTACGATGCACATTCATATCAACAAACACAAATCAATTTCATAAATTTTAAGCCAGTTTATTATTGGACAAGAGTACGTATGAATGTTAGAACAAGAATTATCTAAATATAAAATATTTCATTAGATAAAAATTTCCTTTCTTTCTTTCGTTTTTGTGACTGTAATCGGATTTTTATATTTGTATGTACATATATCTATTTGGGCGAATATGTAAAAATGTTTTTAGATGTTTTTTCTACAATACAAAAATAAGAACCCATTCTCTTTAGAAATTTTTTTAAGATATAGTAAATAGTTTAGGTTGATAATTTGAATGAGATGAAAATTTATAAAGGTGTGAACTTCTCAAAATACTTTTATAAAAATAAAATCTATTAACTAGTTATTTAAAATTAAAATTGTTTTCATTAATATGTATACCAAATATATCAAATTATTGTATTGATTATATGTATATAATTAATAATCAAATTCGAAGACATTTGGCAGATTAAGAGCCATGTGTGAAACCAACTTGTTGTATGGCTCCAAAACATGGCTAGCAACAAGTAAATACACAAACAAAATACAGACCCAGAGTAATAAAAAAGAATATGTGGGGATGGATAGGTCACACATTGCGACGACCCCTGAAACAATTGCAAGGGAAATATTGGAGTGAAACCCGGAAGGGAGAAGAAGCGTTGGACGACCCAAAAATACATGGCAAAGAACAATAAAGAAAGAAATCGTAACGGCCAACATGTTATGGGCAAATGTAAAACGAATGGCCTATAATATCAAGGGGAGTAAAAGCAGAAACGAAAAGAAATTGCCGAATTCCATTGTCAAACAAATGAATTTTATTAATTGTAAAGCGAATTATATACATAGATAAATAATTATATTTTTAGTGGCGTCACATTTATCATAGAATTTACTGAGTTGTTTTGTTTTAGTTTACATTAAACTTTAAACTAATGAAAACTAAAACAAAACCAAGAACGGCAACCTCTTATAATTTTTTCTAATCATTATTTTAAAAAATTAAATTTTATTTAATTTTTTTGACTTTAGACTACAGTGATCTGATGTGTTCCTTAACCCTCTTCTCCGACAGAAAGTTTATCTAAATAAAAATCTGCTCATATATCTCAGTCTACCTATACTTTTTGTATATATAAAATCCTGTAGGTAAATATATTATAGAAATATAAGCTTTGGGTGGTTTTGTGCTATAGAGTAAACTATTGTTTACTTTGAACAGGAGATTGGCATTTGCTTCTCCTATTCCGTACAAAATTTTTTTCGCTTCTCCTTTTTCGTTATTTCTAGCTCTTTTCCCAAAAATTTTTGAAAAAAGTGCTTACTAGTTTCACTCTGTCTACCTGTCCGTTGCCATGCGCCTGTTTACAAAATTTCTACACCCTTAAAGATAGAAAGCTGAAATTTTAAATGTACATAGGTCTTTACTAGAAACTTATTTCCGTACAAGAAATCCTAGAAACAGTTTTTTACCTATCTGACCCCCGTATAAATGCAAAGATTTTCAAATGTCTATAAATGCAGAAAGCTAACGGTAAATTCCATGCCATATTTATTTTTACCACTTACAACTTTAAATTTTTTTGCTTAATTTCAAAGAAATATGAAAGTAATTTTGACAGTGTAGTAGGTATACATAGATTGTTTTCAAAAGCAGTATTTTTACCTATTGAAAGGAAAAGTTCTACACTACAAACCATTAATTTGATCCAATTTTATTTTATTTATTTATTCATTTTTATACTCGTATATTGGTATATTGTAATGGATCTGATGTGTCTTTCGTTTTGTTTCATTTCTAAAATATTGTTATTTTACATTATATTAAAATTTCAAAAAAAAGGATACATGAATGCAAAATTAAAATCATCTTTGAAAATACTTTTGCATCTATTTATATTATATAACTATCGCATTGTGGGAAAAATAAAAGTGACACCAGATGATTCATTAGTTACCTACCTCAGTTTGTTTTTGTTATTTTTTTATTTTATGATCTTGTTTCTTTTTTGTTATATGTATTACAGTTATACATGATAAATATGTTATACTTGTACATATAAAATGATAAAATAACTACCAAATAAGTATATACAGAAAATGTAGATATATATATATGCATACTTTCTGTATGTAGCAGGAGTGTATGTGCAGAAAACACGTTTGTATATATTTTATGATAAAACAAATATAAGAATATTTTTGATCATCTCAGAAGCATTTAATATTCGATGAGTTTAAAAATTATATACACAATTTATGGGTAAGTCAGAAATTTAATTGCATAGTTCATTTTTTATCTTATATCCATAGAAAAATTTCATTCTTACGTATATTGCATACATACATACATATACTAAACTAGAATTAAATTAATTGTTAGTAAGGAAACATTTTTACGTTGAAGAAGTTCAAATACTGCTTAGAGTTAGTGTTGCAGCAGACT